GAGGCTGCAAAGGAATTTTTGTTTTGCTTTTAAACATTTTTTAAAAACAGATTTTTTCATTTTTTTCATAGGCAGCCTGACTGGGGTGGGGGCGGGGGAGATGGTCCCTCCACTGGTTAAGTCTCCAAATGCCAGCAACAGCTGGGGTTGGGCAAGGCAGAAGCCAGGAGCCTGGAACTCCATCCAGGTCTCCACATGTGTGGCAGGGGTCCAAGGACTTGGGCCACCTGCCGCTTTCCCAGCAGCATTAGTAGGGAGCTGGATCAGAAGTGGAGCTGCCAGGACTAGCACTGGTGGCCTCGAAGGATGCCAGTGTCGCAGGTGGTGGCTTAACCTGCTGCACCACAACACAAGCCCCCTTGCTGGCTTCTAGAGCATAACCCTCAGCTTCGGGAACAGACTTCAGGCTGCTAGCCATTTTTTATAATTCCATTTCATCGACACAATGCTCATTGGATAGATTGTATTATTGTCCCCATTTTACAGATCAAGAAGTCAGAGGCAGAAGAAGGTTAAGTAGTTTGCCTCTGGTCACACATTCCTGAGTGGCTGACCGCAGGTCCCACCCCGGGTCCGCCTGACCACAGAGCCTGTGCTGTGAACCACCATCCTCACCATTGGAATGGACGTCCTTTCCTGTGTGTGCTCACACAGCATCCCATATTTCCCAGCTGGTAACACGCATCGCACCTGCCATTCATTCAACGACTGTCTGCCTCACTAGACTGCAAATTCTATGAGATCCTTCCCTGTTCTGACTTGTTCCAACATACCCTGCCTCACACATAGCAGGCACTAAATAGATAACTGTTGAGTGAATGGGAATATATTATGATGAATTATGGCAAAACTTCCTTCTAAAAATTCTTCTTAATCAACAATCACTGATTTAAAATTCAAAAAAAGTATTTATTTGAAAGGCAGAGTGAAAGAGAGACAGACAGAGAAATCTTGTATCTACTGGTCCACTTCTCAACTGCCCACAAAAGCTGGTGTTGGACCAGGCCAGAGCCAGAGCCAGGAATTCAATCCTTGCCTCCCTCGTGGTTGGCAGGGACCCAAGCACTTAAGGTATCACTGCTGCCTCTTGGGGTATGCATTAGCAGGAAGCAGAGCTGGGAGTGGGACCCCAACGATCTGATATGGGATGCAGGTATCCCAAGCAATGTCTTAACCGCTGCACCAAATGCCTGCCCCTGCTTTTGTGTTCTCACTAGTGCGGGCAGCATGGGCAGGATATATAAAATGAGTATGAACCTTGGGTTCTCTGATAGAGCTGGGGTAGTGTCAATAACGACCCTCAGGAACAACTGGAGATGGCCTGGGTTTGAGAGCTGCATTGTCTGAAATAGCTTTTCTACAGGAAATCCAAGTGCTTAAAAAGGAATCTCCTGTGTCTTCCTGAATGGTTTTAGAACTTTGTGGGGCCGGCACTGAGGTGCAGCGGGTTAAAGCCCTGGCCTGAGACACTGGCATCCCATATGGGCGCTGGTTCTAGTCCTGGCTGCTCCTCTTCTGATCCAGCTCTCTGCTATGGCCTGGGATAGCAGTGGAAGATGGCCCAAGTCCTTGGGCCCCTGCACCCATGTGGGAGATCCGGAAGAAGCTCCTAGCTCCTGGCTTCAGCCATCTGGGGAGTGAACCAGCAGATGGAAGACCTCTCTCTGTCTCTACCTCTCTCTCTAATTCTGTCTTTCAAATAAACAAAATAAATTTTTTTTTAAAAAAAGAACTTTGTACATCCAGGTGGTTTTACTGGTTTCTGTCTACCACAGAAGAACAATGGTGCAAAGACTGAAAAGGCAGGGCTATCATATTTATGCTGCCATGTTTCTAAACTGCCACCAGATGGGAGTATTTTAAAACTTTACTCTGACTTCCTGATACTCTTTTTGTGGGTCATAAGAAGATGGAACCTCAGTGTCCCGATGCAGTACAGAAAAGCATACATCTCTGTGTTGTTGGAAATTGGATTCACGTGAGATTGCCAAAGAGAAATGGATATTAAAGCAAGAGAATTAATAGCTGCTATGTAGCAATGGAAAAGAAGTTTGTAGTGTGAAAGAGAAAAATTATTGGCACCCAAATCCAATATTCTGGATGAATGCATTCTTTTTCTTTTGTTTCTAAGGCTGTCCAAATTGAATCCTTCTCATGATTCCCCATTATATTTTTTAATATTAATTTATTTTATTTATTTGACAGGAAGAGAGACAGAGAGAGAAAGAGAGACAGAAATCTCCTATCTTTCAGTTCACTTTCCAAATGCTAAAAACAGCCAGGGTTAGGCCAAGCCAAAGCCAGGAGCTAGAAACTCAGTCTGGGTCTCCCCGTGGATGACAGGGACATAAGTAAGTGAGCAATCACTTGCTGCCTCCTGGGGTGTGCATTAGCAGGAAGCTGGAATCGGAAGTGGAGCTGGGACTGTACCTAAGCACTCTGATATGGGGTGCAGTCATCCCATCTGGCATCTTAACCACCATAATTCTTATCTTCTGGGTTTTAGGAACTCAAGAATGGCAAATTTGGCCAAAACAAATATGCATTTGTCTTGGGATTTCTTAAGAATTCAAAATCTGGGGCCAGTGTTGAGGTGTAATGGGTTAAATCATCACCTGCAGCGCCAACATCCCATGAGGGCACCAGTTTGAGTCCTGGCTGCTCCACTTCTGATCCATCTCCCTGCTAATGTGTCTGGGAAAGCAGTGGAGGATGGCCCAAGTGCCTGGGCCCCTGCACCTGTGTGGGAGACTCAGATGAAGTTTCTGGCTCCTGGCCTTGGCCTGTCTCAGCCCTGGCCATTGAATCCGTTTGGGGGGGGGGGTGACCCAGCAGTTGGAAGATCTCTCCCTCTCTCTTTAACTGTACCTTTCAAATAAATAAAAATAAATATTTAGGCCCACGCCGCGGCTCAATAGGCTAATCCTCCGCCTTGCAGCGCCGGCACACCGGGTTCTAGAACCAGTCGGGGCGCCAGATTCTGTCCCGGTTGCCCCTCTTCCAGGCCAGCTCTCTGCTGTGGCCAGGGAGTGCAGTGGAGGATGGCCCAAGTGCTTGGGCCCTGCACCCCATGGGAGACCAGGAGAAGCACCTGGCTCCTGCCATCGGATCAGCGCGGTGCGCCGGCCGCAGCGCGCCAGCCATGGCGGCCATTGGAGGGTGAACCAACAGCAAAAGGAAGACCTTTCTCTCTGTCTCTCTCTCTCACTGTCCACTCTGCCTGTCAAAAAAAATATTTAAAAAAATTCAAAATCTAGTGAGCATTTTGTGATTAAAATTAATTTTCATTCTCAAAAGAAAACATATTTCTTTTTCTTTTTTATAGAAACATTAAAATGTTTATACATTTTATATAAACATTAAAATGTACATTTTTATACAAAACTTATTTATTTGAAAGAGAGAGAGATCGATCTCCCATCTGCTGGTTCACTCCCCAGATACCTGAAACACCCAGGGCTGGGTCAGGCTGAAACCAGAAGCCTGGAACTCCATCTGGGTCTCCCATCTGGGTGACAGGGGCCCAGGTAGTTGAACCATCACTGCTGCCTTCCAGGATGTGTATAAACAAGAAGCTGGAATCAGAAGGAGAGAAGCTAGGGCTTGAACCAGCCTCTCCGAGGTGGGGTACAGATGTTCCAAACAGTGATTGCACAAAATACCCTCCCCAAAGCCCAACATCTTTAAAAATTTTTAAATTTATTTTTATTTTATATGAAAGGCAGAAACAGGGCAGGGGCAAAGGGAGAGAGAAAGAGGAAATCAGTCTTTTCATCTGCTGGTTCATTCCCCAAATGCCCAGAAGAGCCAGGGCCAGGCCAGGACAAAGCTGAGAGTCCAGAACTCAATATAGATGTGCCTTGTAGGTGACAGAGTTCCAGGCACGTGGGCCATCACCTGCTGCCTGCCATGGTTCACATTAGCAGGAAGCTCAGTCGGAAGTGGGAAAGTGGGGACAGAAACCAGGCACTCTGATATGTGATGTGGGCAGCCCGGACACTGACCTATCTGCTGTGCCAGCGCCTGCTCCACAGCCCACATTCTTATTCACTGTACCACTTCTCAGGTACATCAAGACTTTTGTCATTTCCTCATCTGTAAGTGGGTATTTACCCTACGCTGAGAGGTTTAGACTTGAGACAGATTGATATAATGCATTTACTCTCCCAGCAAATGTGTATTGAGCTACTACCATGTAGAGGGAAGTACCAGGCGTTATCTAGCTCTGGACAAAGCAAGGCAGCACAGTCTGTACTCTCACAGAGCTCGGAGTCAGAGGTGAGGAAGAGGTAGTTTCAGGTGGTCTAAGCACTGGGGAATAGACAGCACCTTTGGACAGAGTGATTTGGGAAGGCTTCCTGGAGGAGGTGATCTTTGGATTGAAGCCCTTCCCACAAAAGGGAGTGAACCTTGCACAGACGGGAGAAAAGTGATCCAGCCTGCCTGCAGCGAGTGCCGAACATCTCTATCAAGCACAGCAAGGGAGACGGGAGTTCCGTGTGGACGTTTTTCAATGAGCACTCACGCGCTTGGACAGGCTCCGTGGTAATCCGACAAGGGACAAGCCAGGCTAGTTTTTCCGAGCCTATTCTAGCTCTGTATGTCTATTTTCCTTCTTCAGAGAGTACTGAAGCATAAAGTTTTGAAAAAAACATTTTTATAAAAGTTCCTACAATCCTTGGCAATTATTCCCTTTAAAACAGCTTTTACAGTTTTCGTCCTTTTTTTTTTATTTGATTCTTTCTTTGATTTTCTTTTTCTTTCTGGGACTAAACAGGAGAGGGAGGAGGAAGAGGGTGGGAGAGTGAGTGGGAGGGTGGGTACCAAGGGAAGAATTACTGTGTTCTGAATGTATTTAAGAGATACATGCAAATAAAAAAGCCATAGTTTTTAATATTAACAAATTACTTTTTTAAATTAGTGGAAGTTGCTGTCCATCAAACCCATGCAAGTGTGATCTGTGTTTCTGGAGTCCCAGTAACCATTTCTTTCTAATTTAGAAATTGGATGAAGATGTGCGTCAAAGCATTGCAAAGGAAATGAACCTCTCTGAAACAGCCTTTATCCAAAAACTTCAGCCCACAGACAACTTTGCACACAGTAAATATGCATTTCTTTAACATTCTTGAATGGCACCAGAAATTACTTTTTAGGTAGGGGACTGACATTGAAGAGAGATGTCCATTCATTGTTTGCATGCAGATAGTAGATGGAGATTCCAATTTTTTTTTTTTTTTTGACAGGCAGAGTGGACAGTGAGAGAGAGAGACAGAGAGAAAGGTCTTCCTTTTGCCGTTGGTTCACCCTCCAATGGCCGCTGCGGCCAGTGCACCGCGCTGATCCAAAGGCAGGAGCCAGGTGCTTTTCCTTGTCTCCCATGGGGTGCAGGGCCCAAGCACTTGGGCCATCCTCCACTGCACTCCCGGGCCACAGCAGAGAGCTGGCCTGGAAGAGGGGCAACCGGGACAGAATCCGGCATCCCGACTGGGACTAGAACCCAGTGTGCCGGTGCCGCAAGGTGGAGGATTAGCCTATTGAGCCGCGGCGCCAGCTCCAATTTGTTTTTCAGTTTGTCTAAGGGAGGGAGTGTGCTAGCTGTGATTTAAATGTGTTCCCCAAAGTTCATGCACTGTAAACCTCATCACCAATGCAACCGTGTTGGGAGGTGGGGCCTGATCAGAAGCCTTTAGGTGAGTGCGTGAATATCATACGGAGGCGGTGAGCGAGGCTTCACGAGCACTTCTTCCACGCGTGCTCTCTTGCCTTTCTGCCTCCCACCATGGGGTGATGCAGCAACAAGGCCCTCACCAGATGTTGGCCGCTGAATGCTGGACTTCCCAACCCCCAGCACTGTAAGAACCAGACTTGTTTTCTTCATAGACTGCCCGGTCGGTGATATTCTGTCATAGCAGCATGAAACGGACTCAGATAGGGTGTTGGTGAACCTGAACATGTCAGTTCCAGATCTAGCTCCCAGTAGCCCCAGTGTGCTTGCCTAGCCTTCCAGCATCCTTTCACAACATGTTTTAGCTGTTAGTGATGCTCCTGAAATCAAGGCCTGCGACCTGCTTGTGTCTGAATGACCTCTCTTTGGCTTTTCCTGCCCTAAAGGTTCCCATTTTGGACTCAGGTGGTTCACGCCGGCAAGTGAGATCCCACTCTGTGGCCACGCCACCCTGGCTTCTGCAGCTGTGCTGTTTCACAAAATAAGTAATGTGGTGTTCTTTAATGAGCCTATCACGTAGCAAATATGTTTTTAAAGGTCTCACATGTTCTTTCTGATAGACCTAAGTGATTGGTATAAAGAAACTTCAGCATTTATTTCATATAATTCGTGTTGCAGAAACAAAACAGTAGCCTTCAGTAACATTTTAGCGTTTTGGAGTATGTTCCAGGCATCATGGGGTTTTCTCCCCCTAGAATGTCACTTTTTTTAAAAATAGGAGATCTCTTTGTGACCAGCGTGGCAGGGAGCTTGAGCTTGCACACGCAGAATAGGCATCTCACATGCTCTGATACCAGGGACCTGAAAGGCATGCTTTGCTTTAAATATTTCCTCACCCTGGGAGCAGATGCCTGCTTCAATTTTTTTTTTAATTTTATTTATTTGAGAGGTAGAGTTATAGACAGTGAGAAGGAGAGACAGAGAGAAAGGTCTTCCATCCACTGGTTCACTCTGCAAATGGATGCAATGGCTGGAACTGTGCTGATCTGAAGCCAGGAGCCAGGAGCTTCTTCTGGGTGCAGGGGCCCAAGGGCTTGCGTCATCTTCTACTGCTTTCCCAGGCTACGGCAGAGAGCTGGATGGGAAGAGGAGCAGCTGGGACTAGAGCCAGCACTCATATGGGATGCCAGCACCACAGGTGGAGGATTAACCTGCGCCACTGCACTGGCCCCAACCTGCTTCAGTTTTGAGGCCTATGGAACTTCCTTGTCTCACCTCATCCCAGCCCTAGGGTGATAGGAGGGGTGTAGACTCTGGGTAATGACACCCACGGGAGAAGGGGCCCTCTGAGCTGTAGAATAAGATGAAGGTTTCTGTGCAAAGAGCTAGAGTGGGAGGAAGAACTTTGCAGGCAGAGGCAGCCCCAAATGCAAAGCCCATGAGATGCACTTTGTACAAGCAGAGTGTCTACAGCTTCCTGTAGAGGCTGGGATTGGCGAGCAATAAAGTTGAGAGGCTAAGGCCTCTCTATTATGTAATTCCATAGACATTTGGTAAAGAAGGTTTTGGTTAGGCCGGCGCCGCGGCTCACTAGGCTAATCCTCTGCCTTGCGGCGCCGGCACACCGGGTTCTAGTCCCGGTTGGGGCGCCGGATTCTGTCCCAGTTGCCCCTCTTCCAGGCCAGCTTTCTGCTGTGGCCTGGGAGTGCAGTGGAGGATGGCCCAAGTGCTTGGGCCCTGCACCCCATGGGAGACCAGGAGAAGCACCTGGCTCCTGCCATCGGATCAGTGTGGTGCGCCGGCCGCAGCGCGCCAGCCGTGGCAGCCATTGGAGGGTGAACCAACGGCAAAAGGAAGACCTTTCTCTCTCTGTCTCTCTATCTCACTGTCCACTCTGCCTGTCAAAAATAAAAAAAAAATAAAAAAAAAAAGAAAGAAGGTTTTGGTTTCTGTGTAGAAGAAACAAGAAAGAAAGCAAACACACATCCTGCAATATTGTTTAAGAACTCAATCTTTGGGCTGGTGCTGTGGCATAAGAGGTAAAGCTGCCACCTGCAGTGCTAGCATCCCATATGGGCACCAGTTGGAATCCTTCTCCACTTCCAATCCAGCTTTCTGCTTGGGCCTAGGAAAGCAGTAGAAGATGGCTCAAGTCCTTGGGCCCCTGCACCCGTGTAGGAGACCTGGAAGAAGCTCCTGAATCCTGGCTTTGGATAGGCACAGCTCCAGCCATTGTGGTCATCTGAGAAGTGAACCAGCAGATGGAAGACCTCTCTCACTCTCTCTCTCTCTCTCTCTCTCTCTCTGCCTCTCTATAACTCTGCCTTTCAAATAAATAAATAAATATTTTAAAAAAACTCAGTCTTGAAAAATAGATTTCTTTCTTCTTGAGAGAGAAAAGCAGGATTTATTTGGTTGGAAAACTCCTGCCGAAGTGGCCAGGAAAGTGGGGTCCAAGAGAAGAAGACTTTGAAAAATAGGTTTTACTGAAGTTGGATTGAGTGTCTTTTGAAAACGGAGCCCACATTCATTGTACAATGCTGGACTAATAATCCCCTGGGCTTCCTATATAGTGCAATGTTAAGGTTAGATGAGACAAGACTTGAAAAAATGCTTTCTTTCTTTCCTTTTTTTAAAGATTTATTTATTTATTTGAAAATCAGAGTTACAGAGAGGAGAGAGAGAGAGAGAGAGAGAGAGAGAGAGAGTTCTTCCATCTATTGGTTCACTTCGCAACGGCCAGAGCTGGGCCGATCTAAAGCCAGGAGCCAGGAGCTTCTTCCAGGTCCTCCATGTGGGTGCAGGGGCCCAAGGACTTGGGTCATTCTCTACTGCATTCCCAGGCCATAGCAGAGAGCTGGATTGGAAGTGGAGCAGCTGGGTCTCAAACCGGCACCCATATAGGATGCTGGTGCTTCAGGCCAGGGCATTAACCCACTACGCCACAGCACCGGCCCCCAAAAAATGCTTTCTAAGTAACATCTTACACTAATTATAACAAGAAAAACTAAGCTTTGGCTTAAAAATGTAATTTTATGCTCAATGAAAGTTAATACAGAATGCTAAGCTTCTTCATCTTTGAAATATGGTCAAATTTTACAGAAATATTAAGGGTGAGAAAATAATTCATCAATCTTGTGTTCATTAGTTATTCACAGTGAGGTCTAGTAAGTGGCCCCACTTGTATCAGTAACATGAAAGGATATTGTTATCGGCATTTGTGGTACATTCTGTAAGTCTAATTTTTTCTGAAGAGCTTGGTGTATTTGGGATAAACCTGACTTGTTTCATATAAGACTGATGTTCGCAACTTATGTGTTTATTTATTTATCCCCTTAGCGTATCTTAGACAAGTAGAGTTTATAACCCTATAGTTATTGTTTGTGAATATTTTAAAATCTGCGTCAGAAAGCATTATGGCAACTCTATGAAGGCAGTTCAATTACTAGCCCTATTTTATAGATGAGTAAACCAAGGTTTGAGGAAGTTAAGTAATTTGCTGAAGAACACAGTCCAGAGCCTTAAGGAGCTGGAATTTGAAGCCTTGCAGGGTGATAGCAAGTCCAGTAAGTTGTCTTCTTAGTTTTCAAGTTAGAATCCAGTGAAGGTTTTTCCACTGTAGATCCAGAAAAGATAATTGAAACAGACCTACAAATAAAAACCAAAGCTTATTTTCCCATTTCTCGTTTCTTTTTTGGACAGACAATGTGAATAGCACTCTAACTTTTGTCACTCTGAGTGGGGAGCTCAGGGCCACGAGAGCAGAGGATGGTGTCGTCATGGATTTTCCTCTGTACCCAGCCCACCCCCAGGTTAGCTCTTACTAATTATCACCCTGAGCTGTGTACAACTACCACCTCACCTATTTCAGGATGATTTTGTCTCTTTTTCCCCCATTTAGGACTTCCATGAAGTAGAGGCCTTGATCAAGGTTGGTGAAAAGAATCCAGCTTGAGCTTGTATGATTTGGTCATTTGTTATTTGAACACAAAGGTTCAGTATTTGATCCCCAAAGATAGGGCTTCTACCAGTATAAATGTTCCAACTGAAGCTTGGATTGACAGTGCGTGGTGTATTTCAGGTTTGAATTTTAATATTTCATCTATTCAGTAGCAAGGTCAACTGCTTTTCCTTGACTGTTAGCTGTCAGCCTTGGTCTCCGGGGTGGAGTGCGGAGAAGAGGGACTGTGTCGTGGCAGACTGAGAGTGGAAGAACTGAGGGGGTGGGGGGAGGACAGAGAGTGGGACTTCTTCAGGACACTCTCGTCTCTGGAGGAGACCCATCTTCAGGTTGAGTTGGTATCCTTTTCTAGCAGAAGGCGGGCTATGGGCCTGAGCCGCGGCCATGCAAGTTCAGATGTGAGAGCTGGGGACTTCTGTAAGCAAGCAGAAGGGAAGAATGGAAACTGCCTGGTGCCTGGCAGTGCCCCCAGTGTCTGTGGTAGAAGGTGGACCTGCGGTAGGAGGGCTGTGCTTCGATAGCAGAGACTAGGAAAACATGGCTGCCTCACAGAGAAGATGAGACACAGAGCCTGGGTGGGACTTCAATAAGAAGAAGAATAAATAATAGTAGAGACAATTTTGGTCTCCTCTATGCAGTCCCATGTGCTAAATGTTATACTTCTGTCATTTAATTCTCCATGTCCCTGGTGAGCTAGGAACTACCGTTGTCCCAAAGAGTTTCTGGAGGGCCAGTGTGGCCCCAGACGGCCAGGTGCTTAGTGTGCAGAGAAGGAAGAGCCCCGATTAGGAAAAAGGGAAAGGAGAAGACCTTTCCATGGAATGGGCTATTGTGGCTACCACCACAGCATTTATAATCTCTTTCATGTCTTGCTTTATCTGTTTCCAAGGAGTGTAAACAAGCATAATGGATTCTGAGTTTACATTCCATCCCACCTGTGGCTCGAGATGTAGGGGTGAACTAAAGTCATACATGACTGCATTGAGCACCTTGGTAAGAAAATGGAAAATATTCATCATGGTAGGCCTTGTTCATGGTAGAAGGAACCTAACATAGCCTCTCGAAGCCTCAAGGTTAACATTTGTAAAACAGAATAACGGAGTTCTTTATGAGTACTGTCATTTTGTGTTGCTTCTGAGAATGACACCTTCAAGTCAGCACAGGGACCCACAAAAGAGAAGGGCAGGGTTTGAGAGATAGAAAAGCCCCAAAGAGCAGACGGGATCTGGCTGGGGAAGGTGCATGTCTTAAGGAAGGGATGTTGATCAGCCAGTGGTCACAGAGGCAGAAAGGCCAGGTGCTACCCAAGGCGGAGGGAGCCTTCACTGCAAGGGTTAGGACCATGAGGCCCCCAGTGACTGCCACAGAATTGCTGTGTCATCACCATCAGCTCCATGGGATCACCTGGTAGCTGCGAGTGGTGCCTAAGGAAGACCTGGGGAGAATCATCCCCACGCCATCTCCCTCAGAAAACCAAGCCCAGAGAAACAGTGTTCATGGATTTGAGCAGGATTCTGTGCGCCACAGGCAGAATGAACCAAGGTGTCTTGAGGAAAGATGCTGGGGTTGATCTGCAACGTGGCCTCTAAGCGAAGGTGGCATCCTGGCCGAGGCCTCCACTGTGTGCCGCCAGTCATGCTGCAGGCCTGGTCTTGGCCATGTAGAGTGCTCTCCTTGCTGCTACACGTCCTCCCCAGGGGTTCTTTGATTTAATCCTCACAACCACTCTATGAGGTGGGCATGAGGCCCCCTGTCTAAAGGTGGTAGACGTTAGGGGTTCAGAGTTTTGAGTCCAGGCTCAGGAGTCCTGTGTCAGGATGTGTGTGTGTGTGTGTATGTGTGTGGCCCTGGACCTCTCTCAATTTCCTTCTCTCTAGGGAAATACCCATTTGAAGGAGTGTGTTGTGGCATGTAAGAAGCCATTGAGTGCAGTGCTCACAGAGGAAAAACCAAAAGGACTCTGAAGGACTTCTGTGGCAGGGAAACTGGCCACCCTTGAGCCGAGCCACCCTGTGAGTCTGCAGACTGAACCAACACTCTTGGACACTGCAGATGGTGGGGGCAGAGCAGGGAGGTGGCTGGCTACAGCAGGTGCTTAGTGAGAGGTTGCTCCCTGTTTCAGGGGATCAAGGACTGGAGCAGGACACGCTCCTGAGGACTCTGTGTCTCTCTCCACAGACTGCCATCGGGGACACACTGGTCCAGGATGTCCGCTATTCTCCAGATATCCGAGGTCTGCTTGTCCGGCTCAGTGACAGCTACGACAGGTAAACGCGATCTTTAATCACGTCAGCACTTTGGGGAGGGCTGAGCTCCAGATTTACGGCTCTGGCTTGATCTGGCTGTGCTGACTGATGAAGCCAGAGAGTTTCCTGGTAGGATGACATTTCTACTTGTCTTGCCTCCCCCACGGCTGAGCTGCTTGGGCAAGCTGCAGCCTGGCCTGTGTGACAGAGTGGTTCAGGGCTGGTCTGTGAATTGGGTTTGTCCTGATCCATCTTGTTTATGAGCAAGGTCGTTTCTGGAGAACCTGAAGGTGAACACGAGCAATCTGCTGCAAGTTGAGAACACAGGGAAGGTCAAAGGACTCATTCTCACCCTCAAAGGAGAGCCTGGTGGGGAGACCCACGCCTTCGACTTTTACTCCAGATATTTTGCACCGTGGTATGGTGTGGCTGAAGATCCTGTAACAGGTACTTTTTACTTGAGTCGAGGGGAGGTTAGGAATAGGAGAAAAAGCTATTTAACTGTCCTTCATGTGACTTTTCAAGATGCTGGAGTTTTGGCCGGCGCCGCAGCTCACTAGGCTAATCCTCCGCCTAGCGGCGCCGGCACACCGGGTTCTAGTCCCGGTCGGGGCACCGGATTCTGTCCCGGTTGCCCCTCTTCCAGGCCAGCCCTCTGCTGTGGCCAGGGAGTGCAGTGGAGGATGGCCCAGGTGCTTGGGCCCTGCACCCCATGGGAGACCAGGAAAAGCACCTGGTTCCTGGCTCCTGCCATCGGATCAGCGCGGTGCGCCGGCCGCAGCGCGCCGGCCGCGGCGGCCATTGGAGGGTGAACCAACGGCAAAAGGAAGACCTTTCTCTCTGTCTCTCTCTCTCTCATTGTCCCCTCTGCCTGAAAAGGATCAAAAATTTAAAAGAAGCTTGATTTTTGAGTTGCCTTTGTTTCTTTTTTTTCTTTCTTTCTTTCTTTTTTTTTTTTTGACAGGCAGAGTGGACAGTGAGAGAGAGAGACAGAGAGAAAGGTCTTCCTTTGCCATTGGTTCACTCTCCAATGGCCGCCGCAGCCGGCGCACCGCATTGATCCGAAGGCAGGAGCCAGGTGCTTCTCCTGGTCTCCCATGGGGTGCAGGGCCCTAGCACTTGGGCCATCCTCCACTGCACTCCCTGGCCACAGCAGAGAGCTGGCCTGGAAGAGGGGCAACCGGGACAGTATCCGGTGCCCCAACCGGGACTAAACCTGGTGTGCCGGTGCCACTAGGCAGAGGATTAGCCTATTGAGCCGCGGCGCCAGCCCGCCTTTGTTTCTGTCTCTCTCTCTCTCTCTCCCCCTCCTCCTAGACCCTCACTGAAGTCACATGTGAAAAACAAAGGAGGCAGAACAGCAAGCTTATAGCTAAGTGCCTGACAGCCTGGGTTTGCATTCCTAGCATCTTACCTCTCGACCTCCAGCATGTGCTTAATTTTTTTTAAAGATTTATTTATTTATTTGAGAGGCAGAGTTAGAGAGGCATGGAAAGAGAGAGAGAGAGAGAGAGAGAGAGAGAGAGATCTTCCATCTGCTGGTTCACTCCCCAGATGGCCACAATGGCTGGAGCTATGCTGATCCAAAGCCAGGAGCCAGGAGCTTCTTCCAGGTCTCCCGCATGTGTGCAGGGGCCCAAGCACTTGAGCCATCTTCCACTGCTTTCCCAGGCACTTTAGCAGGGAGCAGGATCAGAAGTGGAACAACCAGGACTTGAATCGGCCCCCATATGGGATGCTGGCACTGCAGACGGTGGTTTTACCTGCTGTGCCACAATGCCAGCTCCGTGGCTTAACTTTTTAAAGACTCAGTTCCCTCCTTGACAAAATGTGGGTGATACCTCATAGGGTCCTATAAACACAAGGTACATTCAATGGTTAGTGAAGTGCCTGGCCCGCAGTAAACACCCGTTAATAGCAGCTAGACTGGCTGCCTGAGCCAACACCTCCAGAACTTCCACCAGACCTATGCAAAGGGATGAAATCAAGGGAGGGCAGGAGTCGTGCCTCCTACTTTCCTTCTTGCTGAGAACAGTGAGAAGGAAAGGGTGGGCACTTGACGGGGGAGGCTGCTGTTTGGGACAGTGTCTAGGACCGACAGGCTGGGCAGAGGCCTGGGGCCTCCTGTGGTGGTCACACGGAGGGGCTGGGATGGCTTCAGCACCTTCACTTAGTTACTCTCTGAGGGAAAAAAAAGATCACATAGAATTCAAAGCTCAGAAAATAAACACTTTTAAAGACTCAGGGGGCCGGCGCCGCGGCTCAATAGGCTAATCCTCCGCCTAGCGGCGCCGGCACACCAGGGTTCTAGTCCTGGTTGGGGTGCCGGATTCTGTCCCGGTTGCCCCTCTTCCAGGCCAGCTCTCTGCTGTGGCCAGGGAGTGCAGTGGAGGATGGCCCAAGTGCTTGGGCCCTGCACCCCATGGGAGACCAGGAGAAGCACCTGGCTCCTGGCTTCGGATCAGCGCGATGCGCTGGCCGCAGTGCACGGGCCGCGGCGGCCATTGGAGGGTGAACCAACGGCAAAGGAAGACCTTTCTCTCTGTCTCTCTCTCTCTCACTGTCCACTCTGCCTGTCAAAAAAAAAAAAAAAAAAAAAAAGACTCAGGAAAATACCCAGCAATATCCAACTAGTCCAGCACAGTCCTTCCCGGCGGAAGAGAAGTACTGAGCAGATTTGCACATGCAGCGGCTTCTCAGAGATCTTAACTGGCACGGAGGGCAGTGTTCCCCTGTGACAGTGCTTCTCTAGAGTGTGACGATCTTTGGATGGAGATGACCCACCATCCAGGTTTGCTTGGGATTGAAGTGTTTCTTGGGAAGTGGAACTTTGAATGCTAAAACCAGGCCAAGGGGGCGGGCGTTGTGGTGCAACAGGTTAAGCTACCACTTGGGATATCCACATCCCATATCACAGTGCTGGTTTGAGTCCTGGCTACTCTGCTTCCAATCCAGCTTCTACTAAGGCAGCAGGTGATGGCTCAATTATCTGGGCCCCTTCTACCTACTTGGGAGACCTAGATGGAGTTCTAGACTCTTGAATGAACCAATGGATAGAAAATTGATTTCTCTCCTTCTCTCTCTCTCTCTCTCTCTCTCTCTCTGCCTTTTAGGTAGATGAAAATAAGCATTAACAAACAAACAAACAAACAAAACCCTAAAAACAGCCCATGCCTCAAGAAGTTGAGTCCCTGACTCCCACATGGGGGACCTGGATTTTGTTCCTGGCTCCTGGCTTCAGACTGCCCCAGCTCTGGCAGTTGGGAACATTTGGGTAATGAATCATCAAGCAGATCTCTCTCTCTCCCCCCCGCCCCCACCCTTTGATACTCTGCCTTTCTAATAAATGATTTTTTTAAAAAAATGAAAATAAATAAATAAATATCATTTTAAAGACCCCAGCACAGTCTTGAACCACCCGGGATGGTTGGCCACCCTGCCCGGACCCCATAACATGGAATACATGTTCCTGAATGGGGGAAGATGGGAGCTTTTCCTCTCTGTTCTTTTCTCTCCCAAAGATGTTTCTATCAGTTATTACTTTCTTGTTTTTTTTTTATATATATATTATTTATTTATTTGAGAGGCAGAGTTAGAGAGCGAGGGAGAGACAGAGTCTTCCATCCACTGGCTTACTCCCCAAATGGCTCCAACAGCCGGAGCTGGGCTGATCTGAAGCCAGGAGCCAGGAGCTTCTTCCAGGTCTCCCATGTGGGTGCAGGGGCCCAAGCACTTGGGCCATCCTCCACTGCAATCCCAGGCCACAGCAGAGAGCTGGATGGGAAGAGGAGCAGCTGGTGCCCATATGGTATGCCAGCACCACAGGCAAAGGCTTAACCTACTACACCACAGTGCTGGCCCCTGACTTTATGTTTTGTTTCTTCATGTTAATGTCTAATTTCTGACATAAACTTAGGGTACAATCATGTGAAAAACCACCTGACAATTAGAAGGTTCTTTTGACTCCGTTGAAGATTTGTCTTTTTGTCAGTGTTCCCCCCTTTCCTTGCAAATCACTGTAGAGGTAAGGAGAAAGATGCAGCAGGTTAAACCATTGCCTGTGTCGCTGGCATCCCATATCAGAGACCATTTCAAGTCCTAGCTATTCCAGTTCCAATCCAGCTTCCTGCTAATGCACCTGGAAAGGCAGTGGAAGATGATGTAAGTACTTGGGCCCCTGCCACTCATGTGGGAGACCAGGATGGAGTTCCTGGTTCTTGGCTTCTACCTGGCCTAGTCATAGCTGTTGTGGCCATTTGGGGGAGTGAACCAGTAAATGGAAGATCTCTCTGTTTCTGTCTCTCTTTCCCTCTCTCTGCCTTTCAAATAAATAAATAAATCCTTTCCTTTTTTCTTTTTTTAAAAAAACAAACTCTGCAGTTTAATTCTGCTGTCAGAAGCTGTCAGACATATTTGATACATAATTTGATGGAGTTTAGCCATATATTCTGTGTCTACTTTTCCATCTTTGTTCACAATTCCACATTCTGCTGTATCCTGGCCAACATAACGATTAGGTGATTTTTAAAAAAGATTTATTTATTTGAAAGTCAGAGTTACAGAGAGGGAGAGAGAAAGAGAGAGAGAGAGAGAGAGAGAGAGAGAATCTTGCATCCACTGGTTCATTCTCCAGATGGCTACAATAGCTGGAGCTGGACCAGGCTGAGGCTAGGAGCCAGGAGCTTCTTCCGGGTCTTTTCTGGGTGCAGAGGCCAAAGCACTTGGGCCATCTTCTGCTGCTTTTCCATTAGCAAAGAGCTAGATTGGAAGTGGAACAGCCAGGACTAAAATCCGTACCCATCTGGGATGTTAGTGTCACAGGCAATGGCTTTACGCACATAGTTACCCTTGTTTTTTTCTGGGACTCTCTGTCTTAACTTTTTGCTTCATTTTAGGATCTGCACACACTGTCCTCAGCAGCTACTGGTCCCAGCAGCTGGGCAAGAAAGAAATGCGTGGTAGGGTAACTCTTTTCCAAGTTCTTTGTTATTTTCCTAACTCTGAGATCATATTCCTTCTCTACCGTTTCCCTTGAAAATACAATAAAGCATTGTGTATTACGCCCATGAAAATGAAATAAATCCCTCCTCCCTTGATCATATTGCACCTCTGCCTCATCCAGCACAAAATTATCTCTGATACAGTAAGTGCCCCAGTAAATGTTGATTGAGTAAGATTCACTTGCTGGATAACTGACACAGAGAGGTGACATAACGTGGTAAGTTGAGACTGGACAATCACCGAGTTTCCTTACTGCTGTTGCTAGTCACAGGAGTGAATCAAGGAAATTGTCTGCAGAGCCAGTCCCCTAGAGATTAGTATATTGCTCAGGGGTGTAGAAAAGAGACTGCAGCCAATATGGCAGCCGCTCTGCCCCGATCATCACAGCAGAACCTGACCCTACAGGAAGGAGATCTTACTCAGCAGGAGGGGCAGGCCTCGGTGACCCTGATGTGGAGATGGCAGAGCCGCTGCTTTCCTTCCTTGGGAGGAGGGGTCTAATTATTCTCCTAAACTCTGAGCTCTGGGAAGGCTGAGGCTGAGCCTCCTTTGGGTGCCTGGTCCATGGCGTTGCTTGAATGTGAGCGAGTGAGCAAACTCTCTCTGTCCTATTCGGAGCTGAGATGGGGCCTTCTCAGGAGGGCCAAGACCACCGCCCCTCTGCATCTTCGTAGAATGAGAGCCTGTGACACTTTCTCTTCTCACGCATGCTAGCTTCCTCCCAGACTCCACAGCTGGGGTTGACTGGCCCATTATGGGGAGCAGCAAAAGAGGTGACCCAGGAGGGGAAGATGTGGAGCTGTGTTTTCTGTAGATAAATTGCATTTGTGCCCATCTCAGTCTTCAGGAGAATGGGGTTGAGGGTGGGCAGTACCATGGACAGGTGATGGAATCTGTTCACGCATAGACCTGCGAGGGCTCTAGGGTTTGTAATAAGAGATCTTTCACTGTGTTCTGTTAATTTAATACAGGGAAAAAGGAATTCCTGTGGGACTCATCCTATGTTCCTTTTAGCCTTTCAGTGTTCCTGCCGAGGAGGAGAACTGAAGTTATCCCTGCGTTCAGATGGACGAGTTGACATTAGGGGAGACGCCGCTGTTGTGGTGGAGGGCACGCTGTCTGTCTAGGAATGGCTGCACTGGGATGCCACTATCTCTAGTGACAGCATTTTCTGCATAAAAAGAAATGCAAGGGGCTGGCTGTCTTTAGCAAACTCACATAGTGGGCAGTAACCAGCTTGATTGTTGTGTTAAAACAGGAAAATTAAGACATACTAGTGGAGATTTGATAATGCTTCCAGATTAATTAACTAATGGAGTTTTGGCTCCACTCATTAGTGTATTTGAAATGTAGTCTATAACAGAGAAAAATCTTGTCACTTATTTTGATTATGCTGACTGGTCAGAGAATGAGGAATGCATTTATGAAGAATGAGGTTAAATCATTTAAACTTAGGGGCAAGTACCTGGTAGAATATTTTGTAGCTATTAAAAAACATAATAACTGGCCGGCGCCTTGGCTCAATAGGCTAATCCTCCGCCTTGCGGCGCCGGCACACCGGGTTCTAGTCCCGGTCGGGGCGCCGGATTCTGTCCCGGTTGCCCCTCTTCCAGGCCAGCTCTCTGCTATGACCAGGGAGTGCAGTGGAGGATGGCCCAGGTGCTTGGGCCCTGCACCCCATGGGAGACCAGGAAAAAGCACCTGGATCCTGGCTCCTGCCATCGGATCAGCGCGGTGCGCAGCCTGCAGCGGCGGCCATTGGAGGGTGAACCAACGGCAAAGGAAGACCCTTTCTCTCTCTGTCTCTCTCTCTCACTGTCCACTCTGCCTGTCAAAAATAAAAAAATAATAATAAAAATAAAAAAAAACATAATAACTATGTGGAAATATAGAAAAAATTTCATGATGACTATTAAGTAAAGAAAGCTATAATAAGGCCACAAAATGTTAGCAATGCTTTACTAAGTGTGTAGAGAATGTGAATTTATATGAACAGGCATGGGCCATGAAAATAGCCAAGTGAAAACAGTTTGTGTGTGTGTGGGGTGGTTTAAGATCAGGAGTAATTTTAACATATTTGAAAAGTTATTTCTTCTGTTGTTGCTCCATGTACATTAACCAGGACAAAACCCAGAAAATTTTAAAAAGTGTGTTTTAGGCTGCTTCCTGTGGTTGTAAAATTAAACACTGAAACTATGGAAACTTTTTTCATGACTTGTGGCATTAGAGTGCTAACTTAAAAGGGTTAATTAATTAATTAATTAAATGGGTTTTATCATACCTGCAAGTTTAGTTAAGACTATGGTGTTGAATCTCCATAGGGTAGTTGACTTTGGGATGGGGACTTTCTCGAGTTGTCAAGAGAGTATTTGTGTAAGATGATCTCATTGATGGCAATTCTCAACCAGCTCAAAACTGCAGGGAATCAGTTAGGAATTCCTGTTGGGTACCTTAATTACTACCATGCTTCCCCTTATTACCTATTTTTTCTCAGTGTAGCAGCAATCTTATGTTTACCCTGAATTCCAACAGAGTGAGTCACTTCAGCATGTTCAGTGCCTCAGCTCACTGAACGATCAGTGCTCTCCCACAGACCTTGCCACTCATCAGCACACACCCTCAGGACATCATTCCGAGGCGGGAGCCACTGGAGGGTTTTCTCTAAATGGGAGGCTTTCCTGAGCTGGGCTGGAACAATAGGAAGAATTTTGTATAACTGCATAGTTGGATGGGCACTGAGGTCTGTCCTTTTCTTCTCTTTTCTTTTCCTTTCCTTTTCCTTTTCTCCTTTCTCCTTTCTCCTTTCTCCTTTCTCCTTTCTCCTTTCCTTTTAGTTTACTTGGTAGACATAGAGAGGGGCAGATAGAGAAGAAAGAGAATTTCCATCCACAAGCTCCTTCTCCCAAGTGCCTGCAATGACTGGGGCTGAGCTGGAGCTGATGGCAGGAACCAGGCACAGTCTAGTTCTCCTACATGGGTGACAGGTACTCAATTACTGGAGCCATCACTGCTCCCCCAGGGCCTGCACTGGCAGGAAGCTGGAGTTGAGCAGGCGTCTTAACTGCTAGGCTACGTGCCCACTCCTAAGCTCTTACTAGGCATTTTTGGGAAGCAAGTCCCTGAGCTGATTCCTACTTCCTGAGCCAGCCTCCAGAGTGGCTTCTGCGGTGCAGCCCTGCACAGTCCCCTCCCTCTCTGCACCGGGGTTGGTTTGCAAGACCAATATTTTTACATGAAAGATTGCTATTTGTAGTATCAGAGTTGACTTTTCTTTCTATATTTTCAAAATATATATCCACTTTAAAAAAAAACTGATTTATTTGTTTTAATGGTGGAATGACAGAGAAAAGGAGAGAGACACACACACAGAGATATCTTCTATCTCTGCGAATGGCTTCAACAGCCATGTCTGGGCCAGGCCAATGCCAGGAGCCAGGAATGTCATCCCAGTCTCCCACATGGGTAGTAGGGGCCAAACAGTTGGGCCGCCTTCTGCTGCTGTCCCAGGTACATTAGCCAGAAGCTGAATCGGATGTGGAACAGCCAGAACTTGAACCAGAAGCAGGGGCTTAACCTCTTAATATTATCACAGTGGCAATTGAATTTCCACCTGAGTTTTAGAGGAGACATTCAAACCAGATACCATGTAATAGATTACATCAGAGCATTCTCTCCCCTCTTTGCATTTCTGTTTAGGAAACCAAATTATAATCGGAAAACTACTTGGTGACTGTGGAGCCAGAACGAGGAGAGTCAGTAAAATAGGCTTAAATGGCAGATGTCATCAAGACGTGATAACAGTGCCTTAGAATCACCACTTCAGCAGGGCTTGAGAATCCCAGTGTGCTGCATTCAATTTGCTTGAATTTGTGCATGCTCAGGTCAGGGCCAGATATGACTTTAATGATTTTGGAAGAACCACAATCCCTAATTCAAGTCAACAACTTCATCCAGCACACAAACAGTGTTGTATTCCAGTGCTATAGAAAAACATGGAACCAGAGTGCCTGGGTTTGAGTTCTGGCTTCACTTCTGATTCTAGCTTCCAACTAATGCACATCTGGGATGCAGCAGATGATGGCCCAATACTTGAGTCCCTGCCACCCACCAGGGAAACCTGGACTGAGTTCACAGCTCCTGGCTTTGGTCTTGTCCAGTCCAGGCTGTCACAGGCATTTGAGATGTGAACCAGAGGGTGGGAATATTTCTCTCTCTCTGCCTTTCAAATAAACATTGAAAATAAATGAATAAAAATTTATTTAGAAAAAAAGGAAAATGAGCATGCTGGGCTGGTGGATGGGTTTATCTGTCTCCCATGCTAAACAGGTCTATGGATTGTCAAAGTCGATTTAGTGACACTCAATTTCTGCCTAATGCACTCTGGTGGCTGGACTCCAAAGCAGCTTCTGGGGTGTGGGCCCTATGCAGTCCCCTCCCTCTCTGCACTAGGGTTGGTCTGCAAGACCAATAGACTAAAGAGAAGTGATGGTATGTCACTTCTGATATTTGGTTACAAAAGCCTGCATCTTCTGTTTTGGTTAATATCTACCTGTTTCTTCTGGATCACTTGCCCTGTGGGAAGCCAGCTGCCTCATCATGAGCAGCGGGGTGGGGTAGGGGATTGTACTTCCAGCCACCTGCCACACAAATGAGCTTAAAAGCAGATCCTCAGCCGGGGCAAGCCCCAGATGACTGCCTACACCTTGACAGTCACCTTGTGGGCCTCCCCAAGACACAGGCCCCCAGATAAGCTGCTCCAGATTCCTGCTCACAGAAACTGAGACAATTAATGCCTGTTCAAACTTACTAAATCGTGAGGTGATTTGTTTTGTAGCAATAGATAATGAGTAAACATAATGCTGTTTATATAGTTTCATTATTAATTTTATTATGGAAATTTCAATCATACTCAGAAGTAGAAACAAGCCCCCACAAACTTATCACCCAGATTCAACAATGAAAATATTTTAAAAATATTATTTGACACCTAATATCTATATGATCACTTAAAATTTTTTTTTTAAATTTGACAGGTAGAGTTATAGACAGTGAGAGAGAGACAGAGAGAAAGGTCTTTCTTCCATTGGTTCACTCCTTAAATGGCCACTATGGCTGGCACTGCACCGATCCGAAGCCAGGAGCCAGGTACTTCTTCCTGGTCTCCCATGTGGGTGCAGGGGCCCATGCACTTGAGCCATCCTCCATTGCCCTCCCAGGCCACAGCAGAGAGCTGGACTGGAAGAGGAGCAACTGGGACTAGAACCCGGCACCCATATGGGATGCTGGCACCACAAGAGGAGGATTAACCAAGTGAGCTATGGCACCAGCCCCAATATATATGATCACTTTAACACTTAAGATGGCATTTTTACCACCCAGCTTAATGGGATTTGGGGTCCCATGGCAAGTTTAAATGTTAGAGTGATCATATAGATAGGATTGTTAAAGGGATCATATAAATAAGATCAAATGTCTGGTAATAATAGATGGAATTAAAAAGGAAAGAATGTTCCAACATGGGAAGCAGTCCACACAGCAGACTCATAGAATGACAATTGCTTTAAATAGCACTCTGACCTCAGAATCAGCCTTTAAGACATTCTGGCCTGGTTGAAAAGCCCACGAGAGCATTTCAGGCATGAAAAGCCAAGACACTGTGGCAAAAAAAAAGTCTTACATGAAGGACCTCTGTGGGTGAGACCCCAGTGGGAAGAAGAGGCCATCAAAGAAGGATGTACTTTTCTCTGAAGGGAGGAGAGAACTTCAACTTTGCTTATTGCCCTATCTAAATACCGATGGAGATTGTGGATTCAAAAGGCTTCCATAGCCTTGGCAGCTCATGTCAAGAGCCTCGGAGGCCGGCGCCGCAGCTCAATAGGCTAATCCTCCGCCTTGCAGTGCCGGCACACTGGGTTCTAGTCCTAGTTGGGGCGCCAGATTCTGTCCCGGTTGCTCCTTTTCCTGTCCAGCTCTCTGCTGTGGCCTGGGAGTGCAGTGGAGGGTGGCCCAAGACCTTGGCCCTGCACCCACATGGGAGACAAGGAAAAGCACCTGGCTCCTGGCTTCAGATCAGCGTGGTGCACTGGCCGCAGCAGCCATTGGTGGGGTGAACCAATGGAAAAGGAAGACCTTTCTCTCTCTCTTTCTCACTGTCCACTCTGCCTGTCAAAAAAAGAAAAAAAAAGAGCCTCGGGTGATCACTGACATCATACTTAAGAGTGTTAATTGTTGGCCGGCACCGCGGCTCACTAGGCTAATCCTCTGCCTTGCGGCGCCGGCACACCAAGTTCTAGTCCCGGTCTGGGCACCGGATTCTGTCCCGGTTGCCCCTCTTCCAGGCCAGCTCTCTGCTGTGGCCAGGGAGTGCAGTGGAGGATGGCCTAAGTACTTGGGCCCTGCACCCCATGGGAGACCAGGAGAAGTACCTGGCTCCTGCCATCAGATCAGCATGATGCGCCGGCCGCGGTGGCCATTGGAGGGTGAACCAACGGCAAAGGAAGACCTTTCTCTCTCTCTCTCTCTCACTGTCCACTCTGCCTGTCAAAAAAAAAAAAAAGTATTAATTGTTAAATTAACAACAGGAGTCACTGTGTAGTTACTTTCCATGCAGGACCTCTGTCCTCAATGAGTTGTATTATGAGAATTAACTGTAAAACTTGTTCTCAGACAGTTTGTGTGTGTGTGTTCAAATTGTTGAATTCTTTATTTAGTATAGAGTTGGTCTTCTGTGTATAAAGTTAATTAAAAAGGAATCTTAATGGAGAATGGGACTGGGAAGGAGAGAGGGAGGAGGAGGAGGTGGGGTGAGAGTGGGGGTAGAGGGTGGGTATGGTGGGAAGAATCACTATATTCCTAAAGTTGTACTTATGAAATTTGTACTCATTAAATAAAAGGTTTCTTTGGGGAAAATATTATTTGAGAGGCAGAGAGAGACAGAGAGAGCATACTCATCTATTGGTTCACTCCCCAAATGCCCACAACAGGGCTGAGGGCTGGGGTTGAGTGGGGTGCCAAAATGGAGTGCCAAGAACTCAATTCAGGTCTCCAATGTGGGAGGCAGGATCTCAGTTGCTTGAACTAACCCTGATTCCTCCAAGGATCTGCATTCACAGGAAGCTGGGCTTGGGAGCTGGAGCCAGCACTTGAATCCGAGCACTCCAATGTGGGAACCTTAGCTACTAGACTAAATGCCCATCCCAGAGTCCAACAATTTTTAACACATGCCCTGCCATCTGTCTCTCCACCAATTCATCACTCCCTTGATTATTGGAGATAAATCCCAGATGGACGTCCTATACTCTTCACCAGCAAATACTGCAGCATTTATCTTTAAAATATAGGTACTTTTTAAAAAAAGGAACCTAAACACAAATGTCATGTCTATGGTAGATAGACCCTTAAGAGAGTCCCATGATTCCTGCCTCCTGGTGGTCGTATCCTCCTCTTTGAGGTCTGACAGGGACTGTGGAGTATGTGATTACATTTTCATAGTGTGTTACCTAAAACTGTGGCAATCTTACTGGAGTCGCTTTCTCCTTTGCTGGCTCTGAGGAAGCAAGGTGTCATGTTGGAGAACTCACAAGAAACTGAAAGTGGCCTCTTGAGGCTGAGGGCAACCAGTACTCAGCAAGAACATGAGTTCCTCCTTAGGCAGATGTTTAGTCTAGCAGTTAGGATGCCCACATCCCATATCAGAGTACCAGGGCCTCCGTCCTTGGCTTCTGGCTTCTGGCTCCAGCTCCCTGCTAATGCAGACCCTGGGAGGCAGCAATGATGACTCAAGGAGTTGGCTCCCTGCCAGCCACATGGAAGACCGGGATTGTATTCCCAGCTCCTGGCTCCAGCTGCAACCCAACCCTAGCCACTACAGGCATTTGTGGAGTGAACCAGCAGATAGGATTTCTCTGTTTCTCTACCTCTTCAAATCAATAAATTAAAAAAAAATTTTAACCAGAAAAAAAATGAGTCCCTCAGTTCCAGATCATGAACTAAATTCCACTAATAACCTGAGTGAGTTTAGAAGCCTTTTTTTTTTTTTTTTTGACAGGCAGAGTGGACAGTGAGAGAGAGAGAGACAGAGAGAAAGGTCTTCCTTTGCCATTGGTTCACCCTCCAATGGCGCACCGCGCTGATCTGAAGCCAGAAGCCAAGTGCTTCTCCTGGTCTCCCATGCGGGTGCAGGGCCCAAGCACTTGGGCCATCCTCCACTGCCCTCCCAGGCCACAGCAGAGAGCTGGCCTGGAAGAGGGGCAACCGGGACAGAATCTGGCGCCCTGACAGGGACTAGAACCCAGTATGCCGGCACCGCAGGCAGAGGATTAGCCTATTGAGCAGTGGCTCCGGCCAGTAGCCTATCTTTACCCAGTGAGCATTCAGCCCTAGCCAACACCTCCATTACAGCCATATTGGGGACCCAATCATCCCTGGACTTCTGACCTACAAAATCTGTGAGATATGGGGCTGGCACTGTGGCATAGTGGATAAAGCCACTGCCTGCAGTGCCGCTGTCCCATATGTGCACCCGTTCAAGTCCTGGCTGCTCCACTTCCAATCCTGCTCTCTGCTATGGCCTGGGAAAGCAGTAGAAGATGGCCCAAGTGCATGGGAAGACCCAGAGGAAGCTCCTGACTCCTGGCTTCAGCCTGGCTCAGCCACAGCCATCGTGGCCATCTGGTGAGTAAACCAGCAGATGGAAGATCTCTCCTTCTCTGTCTCTCCCTCTCTCTCAGTAACTCTGACTTTCAAATAAATAAATACTTTTTTAAAGTGGTGTGTTGTTTTGTGTTGTTTTCAGCTGCTGAAGATGTGGTAATATGGTAATATGCAGCAATAGGGAAGTAATATAATACCCTCCAAAGAAGAAATAATATTATTGAATATCCTGTTAAAGTTCTATTTCCCTGATTGCCTTATGCCTCTTTTTACAGTATTTTTGTAAGACATGCTGAGTGTAGTCTGCACCTGTATGGGATGTGACTCCACTGTGGGTAACCTGCCTTGCAGCACAGCCTGCTCCTGTGTGTTAACTAGCTCAGCACAGCCTGCACCTATGTGAGATGTGAGTCCGCTGTGCCTAACCTGCCCCGTAGCACACCTGCATCCTCTTTGCCGTGGCTCAGCCCCTCAGGTAGGATCTTCCTGGGCCCTATCAAAGCTGGTCTGCCTGAACAAGCTTTCCCAGTACCTCCATGCCGACCCACTTGGATCAGATTATAGTCAGACCATTCTGTTCCTTTAACGTGGCTAGACATTGCCAAATGACCCTTTCCCTGGGAGGGAGGGTAGCAAAATCCCTCACCCTGTTGAGAACCACATCTTTGAATTGATGTTGTTTTTCCTTTTCTTTGACTTGCTTTGCTTGTTTTATGGTCCAACTCGGAGAGAGTAGATTGTTTTCCTATTTCCAAGCTCTTTTCTGGACGGGAATCGCCCTTTGCTGTCCCTCCCTGTGTGTTAGGTGCCCAGCTGGGATCTGGTTTCCAGGCCTATGGCTCAGATCTGCTGTTAAATAATTTCACAGTGTAAGATTTGCTGTGTGCTGTTGTTAAACACTGTGTGAGAGGCTGGCAGGGAGGAGAGCTGGGGGGCAGGCTGCAAAGGGGATTAGGCAGGGAGCTTAGAGCTCTCTAGGGGCTTGCTCGCTGTCACCGGGAAAACCAGGCTCATCCTTTTGTGAAAAGATTATGAGCACTTGGCTGGTCTGTGATTAGGGTCCACACAGGGGGCAGACAGGAGCGCAGTGGCACAGTCAGGCGAGTGCTGAAGGACAGTGTGTAGAAGGACTGGCGCGTGAGCAGAGATCCCCAGGTGAACAGGGATTGTGTGGGGCTTGCATAGGTTTTCTACAATTAGAAAATAGTTAGGTTCTGTGGGGGCCAGGTGAGAAATAAAAAATAATTCTTAAATTGATACAATTGATAGTCAACATAAACACAAGCACAGATACACATGACTGGCAATGATTGCTGTTTTTTTTTTTTTTTATAAAAAACTATTCAAATCTGTAGAAAGGAACTGGAAATCATGGCCATTGTGAGACGTCTCCAGCAGATGAGAAAATGTGCAAGTGTGGCGGACTATCAGCGTCAGCTGGTGAGATATGCAGATTCACAGATCCTGTCCCGGGTCACACGAATCAGAGTCTCCAGGGTGGAGCCCAGTGATCTGGGGTTTAACAAGCCCTCCAGGTGATTCTAGTGTGTGCTTAAAGTTGCAGACTAACAGGTGTTCAGGCTTCCAGATTTAGCCACCATCTTCTTCACTCCCAGGTGTCAACTGCCTATGCAGCTCAGTAACATTTAAATGCTCACTGCCTCAAAATCTCCCTGACCATACCAATTCACCTGCTGCAAAGTGCACTTTTAAGGAAGCTGTATAAGAAAATGTTTAAAAATTAGCTTCGAATTCTGTTCAGCATAGAAAAATTAGCTGTGCTCAGGTGGGAACATTTCAGTAATGTGTTGTAATAAACAGATTAGTCGATCAGCCATGATTTATTAATGATGAATTAATTATACCTGATTGTGCAGTTCTGCTAGCTAAATGGAGCTTTAAAAGAGTTCTTTTATTAATCATCATGGTGCTAATTGCAGACACTTACAGAAGGATCACTAATTAAACATGCAACCATATGCAGAACAAGTAGGCTGCTGAGATCTGCAAGAATAAGAAATACCCATTTTTAGGGAAGCCAAAGCAAACTTTATTTTATGCAGTATTAGGGAGTGGACTTGGCAGTGTTAATTAATCACTGTATATATTCATATTGTAATCTTTCCCAGGCAGGAATTGATCCCTACTGTTGTTCAGTGATATTTTCTGTTTTACATACGAGCAAGCCTTTTTTTTTTTTTTTTTTTGATAGGCAGAGCGGATAGTGAGAGAGAGAGACAGAGAGAAAGGTCTTCCTTTGCCATTGGTTCACCCTCCAGTGGCCGGCGCGGCCGGCGCACTGCGGCCGGCACATCGCGCTGATCTGATGGCCGGAGCCAGGTACTTATCCTGGTCTCCCATGCAGGTGCAGGGCCCAAGCACTTGGGCCATCCTCCACTGCACTCCCTGGCCACAGCAGAGAGATGGCCTGGAAGAGGGGCAACTGGGACAGAATCCGGCGCCCTGACCGGGACTAGAACCTGGTGTGCTGGCGTCACATGGTGGAGGATTAGCCTAGTGAGCCACGGCGCTGGCCTAAGGTTTCATTTTTTTAACAGCTGGACATGGAGTCTGATACTAACTACTCTGTGATGATCCAAATTGGGCATGTTAATACCACTTTTTTTTTTTTTTTATTTGACAGGTAGAGTAATAGACAGTTAGGGAGAGAGACAGAAAGGTCTTCCTTCCATTGGTTCACTCTCCAAATGGCCGCCACAGCTGGCGCTGCACCGATCCGAAGCCAGGAACCAGGTGCTTCTTCCTGGTTTCCCATGTGGGTGCAGGGGCCCAAGCACTTGGGCCAACCTCCACTGCCCTTCCAGGCCACAGCAGAGAGC